CTCTCAAAGTCTATTCTCCCACCTCCCTCTCTCGTCTGTGTATGCATTCTCTCTCATTTTGGGATCATTATTATTATGATTTATCAGCAGCGTTCCTCTATTTTGTCTTTGCGAGTGACGACTGATTATCACAACTGGGCACATTGCAGAGGCATTCTAATGAGCAAAAAAAAAAAAAACCCATCAAAGATAGCGCTATCAAAAAACGTTGTCAAGGCAATATCATTCTTTTCTTTTTTTTAATTTTTCCCATTCGTTTTTTAATTTATTTTCGAGGATTAAGTAATTAAAAATTTTAAATTATTATAGCTTCTTTGTAAATTAAGCCACGCAGCCTACGCCTTTGTAAATTTCCATTAAATTTTGAATTTATTTTTAAAAAAAGCTCTAAATACTAAGGTGTCAAAAAAAGAAAAAGTTGTGCAGCAACGCTTTTTTTTTCGTTTTTATTTTTGGGGTAAGACCATACTTGCAACCGCACCATGCAGTGAACCGTACCAGCCTTAGTTTCCCCTTTTTATTCTTTTTTTTGATAATTTTTTGTAGATACAGAAGAGTGCACCACCTAAGGAGGAGGTCCGTTTCAAGTTCAATCATACATATTTTTCTTTTCATCCAATTCGAAATGAGCAAGAGCCGCAAATAGGTGTTTGGGACATCAGTCTTGACCTTTAGGTAGCGACATTACTCTCCCGCTAGGCTTCTTTTTATTTCCATCCCACAACAAATTTTCAAAGGGGAGAAAGGTGAGCATTGACCAAGGCATGCGACCCTTTGTTTCTCAGGGTGAATATTCCACCCGTGCGCTGCACATGCTGTGCACCACACCATGCGCCTCCGCTCGCACACCATCCGTGCACATTTTTCCGTACAGCGTTTGCTTGCATGTATGGCTAAGACCTTCAGCCTCTGCTGAAGTTGCTGCACATGTTCCACCAGCAGATCCATCTCCTAGTGCAGTAGGTGCCTGTTTTGCTGTTGCATCATCTTGTGCTGCATTTCCTGCAACAGATGCTGTACTAGCTGATGGAGCAACTGCTGCATCTGTAACACCGGCAGCTACAGTAGCTGCTATTGGATGTCCAATGAAGACCTCTCGCAAGGACGTCTGCCCATTGGACGACTGGTTGGCTAGAAAATTGATCAGATTAAGGAAGACATTAATAAGTTATCAATTTAATTAGACAACGAAGAGTAATTAAGAAATCATTTGAAAAAAAGAATTAGAAAAGACTCACCTCTGTCTCATCCAACAGTTGACCACCGGCATCAATATTACGATTTATTGAAGTGTTTTCAGAAGATATTGTTGTTTCAAGTAGGCCAGTGATTCTACTCCTCGTTGTTCGTTTTGTTACTGTAATTTTCTCAATGACTTTATTTTTGAAAAATGGTCCATGACCTGCTTGATAACAATGAGAAACACAATTGGTTAGTAATTATCAAGTCGGTCATGTGAGTAGAACAACAAAAAAATCAAGAAAGACTGAGGAATAAATTACGAAACGACACGATAGCACTGGCAGAGGGAAGGTAGCCATAGATGCGCAAGTGCAACCACTTTAGCTATGTCCTCACTTTGTCTTCCCTCCCCCTACATGCATGCACACTCACTATCATCTACACAAGGGTCTACTATGGATACGCCCACTGCTATCTCTACTAACGGCTACTAACTAGCACTAACACTATTCACTTGCACAGCTATGTCTGCCTTCCCTCTGCCAGTGCTATCGGTCCTTGTCTCTCTCTCCTCCCTTATGCATGCAAAGCGACTTGTGCCTGCGGGCTTTGACTTTTCACTGAACAGATTGTGATTTCTGCATTTTTGTCTCTAGATGTGACCTTTCAGCAGACACTCAACAGACTTGACATTCGAATAACCGGGTGGTGACTTTAAGAATCTGACCGACTCAGCCTCTACCCTTTGGGAAACTTAGAACCTGGAATTCAAGTCTGGGGTCTGAATCGTCGAAGGCCTTCCAGCTTCTGAGTCTCATTGGAATTCTTTATCAAAAATATTTTTTTTTTAGTCCAGCTAGGCAAGTTGCCCAAGCCCGCGGGCCAGTCTCGTTGCCTAGAAAAGTACAAAACAAGAAAGATAAAAAAAATTGTAAAAAACTTACAAACTCAAAAAGTACAAATATTTACAAAAACTATATCCAATGACTGCTTTTTACAAAGATCTCTCTCTCTCTCTCTCTCTCTCTCTCTCTATCTATCTATCTATCTATCTATCTATCTATCTATCTATCTCTATCTCTCTATCTATCTATCTGAAGAGAGAAACATAACTGTTACTGTTACTGTTCTAGTTGCAGAAATCCCGGTTCCTCCTTGTCCTCCCGAAACTCCCCCTTTCTTTTTCTGCCATTTGCTAGAATTGAGACGAACACGAAATGACCAGGAAAATGACAAATGCTTTATCCCAAAGCCGTCTGTTCATAAGAGTCACCTTTTCAAGTTCGTCATTCCTCGGAGACATCGCACAAAATCAGGATTAATATCGTCAAATGAACAGTCATCAATGACGTTCATAATAGTGTCCACCACCACACGAGGTCTTTCAACATCCATCTGCTCATCTCTACCCTGTTTCATGAGCATAGAACCATGGAAGTTCTCAACTGCTGCAGTGCGACGATTCACTTGTCCTACCATGTTAACGTGCACATCATTGTATGTCATTGCCTCTTGAGACTCTGTAGGTAGAGGTGTTGTTGTCTCATCCATACTATTGGCCATGTGCGAGGGTTCATTCGTTTCTTGCTCCTCTTCATCTTGTCGTAAGTCAATGAGCCCTTCATCCGCCAACACTTCACCATTCTGCACAATTTGTTTTTTACCTTGTCTAATGTTTTGTTCTCTTTCCTCCTGATTTCTTCGACTGCCAAAAGTTTCCGCTTCCATGTCATCCTCGACACAGTGGTGTTCACCCACTTCCACATTCGTTTTTGCACTTGGCTCATCCCCGTATTCTGTCTTTTCTCCAATACTGAATTCTCCGCCGTCTCCAACAACATTCTCATGTGCCCTTCGTTTCCCACCACAACGAGAAGACTCCGCTCCCTGTTGCTTACGAGCAGAACATTGTAATTTGTGTGTTGTCTCAAAGTGTTTACCGTGCACATCGTGCTCTCTTGACAAGTGAATAGTCAATCCATGTCCATTTTGATACTGCTTATGACACACTGGACAACAAACTGGATTGTGTTCCGTCTCCAGTTTCTGTTTCATGGCTCGACCTTTCTTTTCTCTTCCGCTTCCACAAACGCGTGTGCTTTCATCTGGTCCTGCATTGTACAACCTGACACATCCTTCCTCTGCTTACCCTTCCTAGCAACGGGCGTGGTTTGATATGATCCTTCGTAAGGACTGGCGTGCTTTGATATGACCCCTCAGCTGTACAGACAGGCATGCTTTGCTCTGATCCTGCCTTTTTAGTATCTGGAACGCTCTGATGTGACCCTTCTGCTCTAGAAATAGGTTTGTTTTGATCTGACCCTGTCTTTGTACAACCTGGCCTGGATTGATATGACCTCTCCACTTCCCTTTCTCCATGGTTGTGTGGTGCAGAAGCTACCAGCACAACTAAAATTTCATTAGGCAACGACTGCTGGCATAAAGGACAAATTTCAAATTGACATACATTCTGAATGTTCAAATTTTTTATTTTTACTCACTCGCTGAAAGCAGGATTACAGCAAAATAGCAGAGATGTTGTGTCCAACGAGCTCCAATCCTGAAAATACCAAACAAGATATAAATAACATATACAAAATCATCGGTTGCTGAGATACTTCTAGGATAATATTTGAATATCTTTTTCAAATGATGTTGTAACCCCCTTAATAAAAAAAAACAAGGAACGAGGTCAACCAACATTGCCCAACAAGCAAAATCATAAAAAAGGCAAGTGACGTAATCTAACAAGCCAACTTCCGAAAATTAAAAAGCAACCGAAACCAACAATCGACCAACAACTGCAAGGCAAAAGGTAACAAAAGGAAAAGATGAGAGCCATGGGGCAAAAGGTAACACTATAAAACCATGGGGCTGTGGGAACACACCTATAGATGGGACTGTGGGACTGTGTAACAGAAGCAGAGACAGATCAATTACATCCCCGCCCCCCTCTGTCCGAACTGAAACAGCCCCATACCAACCCCAAGCGCATCATAGCAGCAGGCAACATCTCAGCGAAGCACCGGGCAATGCTGCCAGGGCAACCCAACCAACTGCTCAGGGTCAAAGCTAAGTGCATGCAATGACAGTGCAAGCAGATATGGGCATAAAGGCAACAACACAACAACGCACAAGGCAACACTGCAGAGCAGCCACGCTGCACAACTCACGGGCACAACCCGAAGGAAGACAACGCATGCGATTGGACAGCAAGGCAACAGCGTAGAACCACAAGGTAACACCAACGACGCAGCCAAAATACACAGCAGCACACCAGCTGCGGAGAATAACATATGCAAGCGGGATGTGCAGCAAGGCAGCAACAAAGAATAGAAATTGCAATATTTCTCTCTCTCTGTCTCTCTCTGCATGCATGGCAAAAGGTAACGAAGGGAAAAAGGAGACATTCTCGTTTTTTATTTTTTCTTTTCTTAAAAAACAGGGCAAAAAAGAAAAAGCATGTTATGGAAAAAATTAACTGACCCCAGACCAGGGAAGTGACCTCGGGCCACTCTGGTAGCCTAGATAGGTCTTGAAATATTTGGAGTGCTTAGCACATACGTGAAAAGACAATCACACGATTATCCACAAATGAGGCAGCCGTGCCAATGAAGCTTCTTCCTCAATACGACGGCGCCTGGGAAGTATTGAAGCAAGTAGGTGGAGATTCATTCTGTCCTCTTGCTATGTGATTGTTGTGCCTCAACATCTGCGCACATGCCCAGCTTTTCCCACATCAAACTTGTTTTCATATAAATCTCCTGATTGCTTTTAGTGTCGAGCGCCGACGATCGCTCGTTCAATGAATGGTGGTCACAAGATAGATAGGATTTTTGAATATAGTGGAAATGGGATGAAGACATTATAAAGTTCATTTTTTATATCAGCCACTATACAATTTATTATTTTTTATTATTATAATTTGGACCATTTCTCAGTTTATGATGTCATCCTTGTGCAGGGGCGATGCCAATCTTCTATGTATCGTTCCAATTTTAAAGGCATATCCTGAAGAACACTATAGAATTTTTACTGGATCTGAAAGAAGGTTTTGCTAAAAAGTGCACCTCAGGTAGTCCAGGCTTATGAGATACAAATTATCTCCAATCAGCAATCAAAATTCTCTCCTAAACTCACTCCCACTGAACATACCATATCTCTTTTTGCTATCTATGCCGATGATGCATGATGCTACCATAAATTGCAATTTCCCAGTGGGGCTGTACACTAACTGTTGGGCTTTGTAGTTTGTTTTCTTGTTTTGAGCCTTGCAGGAGTTGATCCCGTCAACTGTAATTTGTATGTTTTGTTTGTTAGCTTCGAGCCCTATTGGGCTTGATCCCTACATCTGTAGTTAGTAGTCTCTATGTGGCAGTCTTAGACCTTTAGGCTTTGCTGTTTTGTCGTTTTCTGCAGTTTCTGGGACTGGATCGCCTGACCCATAGTGTGTTTGTCGTATTTGCCTGTTTTTGTGCCTTATTGGGTTTGAACCTTGAACTTGTCGCTAGTAGTCTCTACTTCATACTCTTAGGCCTTTCAGCCTTCATTGTTTTGTCCTTTTCTGTCCTTCTGGAAACTGGTAGGCCTGTAGGTCTTTCTTTTGTGTGTCCTAGCCTTGTGTCCCCTTAGTGAAGATTTCCATCTAGATGAATGTAGGTAGAGCTTTACTGCTTCGCCATAGATGCTTGCTGTTTGGATGACCAGATAGCTCTGTAGGTGTCTGCTGTGTTGTAGGTCTAGGGAGGTCGGGTAGAGGTAGGCAAAGACCGACGAATTTGGGGGTTCTCTTATCACGTTGGTCTGGTGAGGTTGCGTCGGGAGAGCTGCACTGTGGCTCACCTTCTTCATGTTGCTGGCGGCCATAGCTGGGACCGGCCAGATCCAGTGTTGACAGCGTCGGGCTGTGGGCCATTGGCGCTGATGGGTGCTTCCTACTACTGGTGTGTCTGTTGGGGTTAAGGCAGCTGCCATGGAAGCAGCTTTTCCATGTGGTTGGGATTCTTGGAAATTTGTGTTGTTGATTGGCTTCAGGAGAAACTATAATTAGAATTGATTTTCATTTCAATTCTATTTTCGACATTTGTGAGCTTCCGCTGTGTATTCTTATCATCCGGTATCGTGTGGATTGATCTTTCCAAAGGTCACTTGTCATTGCACGTGTATGGGAACGTGTGGATGCCATGTTGGATCTCGTTTCAATCAGGCACATAACAATACAGAGACTCTTAGACCGTTACTTGCTCGAACGGACCTCACTCTTGCCGCGGGAATAGTGTAATGACATGCAAAACTACAGACTCATTCGGAGCGACCTCGTGCTTTAGGGGTAGTGTAATGACCTTCAAAATCACAGACAAAACATAACAAATTTTATAAGTGAGTGCTTGTATTTGCTGCTATGTGATACCCGCAGCCTAGGCCGCGGGCATTTCGACCGCTGCGGCCGAGAATCTCGGCCGCAGCCGCGGGCGCGACCAATGAGAGCCAGTCCGCAGCCTGGTTTTTATATATATAGTTTTTACCCCTAACAATACTAAAAAACAAAAACAAAAAATGGGGGTGACGGGCTTGGGGGGAGAAAGACGTAGTTGAGGGAAATGAGTGAAGCAGGACTCCACATTGCTATACTCTGGTGTATATCTTTTTCTTCTTCTTCTTCTTCTCCTTCTTTTCATCTTTGTCTAATTCTCTTTCAAGTTCTTTTTCTTTGCATTTGCAATGTGTGACATTGTCTTAGTCAGAGTGCTTCACCACCTGCGAGCGGTAGAGAACCTTTTACCCATTCCTCATCTGCTTAGCTGTGTATTCGATGACACTCTTGAATGGAAAAAAGAGCACCAGACAATCAACTTCCTCAAAAATCGGGACCTAGGAAAATGGTTCCTTAAGATCAAGAGAGTGCTATTAATTTGCGATACGTCAAAGGGAATGACATAGGACTTGCCGAGGGAATAGGAACCGGACTGTCGCTCCCCAGAATGGTACGAGCCAGAACCCTGAGGTTCTGTTTTTTCTTCCTTTTTTTGTTTATTTTTAAAATGAAAAAAAATCGTTCTTCACCCTATCCATCACATAGGCAGCCGCTTCAGGGGGTCAATGGATTTGCAAGAACAGGCAATACTATCCTATCTCCCACAAGGGCGAAGACGATTCTATAATCGTTTCTTTGCCACAACCGACCGTTCTATTTGGGTGAAGATGTTACCTTACATAATCATTTGCAGTCATCATAGCTGTATCTAAAATGAAACTGCGACACATACATTTATAACAACCGGACATTCTATCCGGTTGACGAAGACGGTAACCTTTACATAATCCTGGGCATGCGCCTTCTCTCAAGCCAACTTGTTGCACTTTAGCAGAAGGGCACTCAAGCAAGGAACTAAAGCGTAGGGCCTTGGATGACTACCCACTCACCTGGATAAGGAACTCGTCTTGCCAGTTCTCCAAACCGTCAAAACTCTTATTCTCGTTCACGTCACATACCAACAAGCAGCAAGCAACTCCGCTCTAAAAAGGTGACAACAAGACTATGGAATCGTTCCTGCCCTGCTATCACAGTGTTGCGTCCCAAAGGGATACAGAGTTTAGCATGTGCTTTGACATTGGAAACCTTCACACACAAAGAACACACAGACACACACAAACACACACATACGGACACACATACGGGCACGCATGGACATGATTGTTGTCAGGAAGCTGAAAAATCATTTTTGCATAGGGCCCACCCTCATGCATTAAATTCAGCCAGATCAAAAGTTGATCCAGATTAGTACAGCTACTTAAGCCTTGCAGGAAGACTGGAAGAATACATAACCAAAGTTTCAACTGTACAAAGTTGAAAATAGATGCACATCTAACCAACAGTCACGAGTAGATTTGAAGAAATACATACATTGACCTTTACTTCAACTGCTGAAAGAATGAAGATGTTTGAGCACGGCCCCAGACCAAGTGTTTGACTAACCAGAAAGCCAAGCTACTCATCAACACAGTAGTTACACGTTGACCTGTCAAACTAAGAAAGAGACACTCACAGGGGGTTCAAGCCTACCTACACTGGGCAATAGCGCACACAGAAGGCCGGTCACATTTAATATGCGAACTAATTCCACACTCCTGATTTTTTCTCCTGCGCTATGTTGCTCGAGGTTGCTCTTGAGAAAGAGGAAACGAGAAACCTGCATGATACGGGTGAAATGCTTGAGAAACATATTCGTTCGCACAGAACAGCCACATGTTCGTTCACACACACACACACACACACACACACACACACAGTGAAATGCTCGGGAAGTATCACGCATAACCACAGGAATATATCAAACGTACAGACAACCCTGCAAGCATGCATGGAATTACAAACACGGACAAGGAACGACCACCGTCATTTTCTTTCCCTACTTCGAAGCAGCAACCAACGACTCAGCGAAGCACCGGGCAAGGCTGCCAGGGCAACCCAACCAACCGCACAACCCCAAAGCTAAGTGCATGCAACGACAGTGCAAGCATATAGGCAGCAACGCAACAGCACAACAACACTGTACATCGTTCAAACAAGGAGCAAAAAAACACGCACACGAGAGAGAAAGAGGCAAGACAGAGAGAGAAGAAAGAGAGAGAAGAAAGAGAGAGAGAGAGAGTGAGAGAGAAGAAAGAGAGAGAAGAAAGAGAGAGAGAGAGAGTGAGAGAGAGAGAGAGTTTCCCTCAACGTCCATCTCCAACCTCTCCCTCCTCCCTCAATGCATCGCTTCCCAAGTAGCTCCCTAGCCCGTGCACCTACCCATCTATGCAGCTCCTTCCCCTCTCCTTTCAGGCGCGACTAAATCCCGACCTCCCCACCCACTTTCCCCGATATTCTGCAGGCCTCACTACACGCTTTCCTCCACCTCCCTCTCCATGCACGACTCCCTGCCCATGGCCGCACCCACTTTCCCCGACCTTCTCTCTCTCTCTCTCTCTCTCTCTCTCTCTCTCTCTCTCTCTCTCTGTGTGTGTGTGTCGCGCAGCCACGTCCACTTCGTCTCTCTCTCTCTTGAAGGACGGACGAAGAACTAGTGAATCTCGAAGATCGAGATACAGAAACGGAATAGATCTTCAGCCACTTACTCAGACAGCCAAAAGGCAAAGAGGCAAAGAAAAGAGGAAGGGAAAAAAGCCAAAAAAGCAGAACAGAGGGGAACAAAAAAAAGAAATCCTAAATGACAATCCTAGATGACAAGTCCCACCTGCAAGCACTGCCCCCTACAAGCAACCATGCCAAACGACAAAATCAGAAGACCGACCAACCGTCTTCACCCTGATAGAACAGCGGATCATTACGACCGTATCTAGACTGAATGCTGCGAACGTATCCATACATACTAGAGGAGGAAAGCTCCCTTTCGCTTTCGCACCTAACGTTGACGATACCAGCAGATTATTAATCTGTAACAGGGGCTGTGACAAACTTTTTCGTCGGAGTTTCACCGACTCATCAGGAGGCTATATATATATATATTGTCACATTGTGAATCAGAGCGCAAAAAAGGGGAAAGAAAAAAGGAAAAGGAAAAAAGGGGGAGGGGGAAGAGGTAAGGAAAGCTCCACCTGTTCATAACCTCTTACGTACAAGGCCAGCCACGTGGATGACAGGTTGAGCGCTGGCTGCCCCCATCCCCGTGTGTCACAAGGACCCACTTGCACGCAGCCAAAAGGCAAAGAGGTAAAGAAGGGGAGGAGGAAACCAAACCTGGCAGGGAAAGAAAGATAGGGAAAGAAAGATAATCCAATTATCACAAAGCAAATAACACATCCCACAGATCAACGTATCTTTCTTCTTTTTTACTTTTTTTCTCTTTTTTCTTTTCTTTTTTTCTCTTTTTCTTTTCTTCTTTTTTTCTTTACCTGCCCCCACCTCGGCAGATAGGACAGCTACGGTGAGGATGATGTGGATGTTCACAAGGATGCCCAAGGAGAGCTGCGCCAGCACAGCATTCTGCAGGACGGCTAGCACGAACCATCCCATCAAAACAGTCCTGACAGAGGACGTGTTGTCCACATGTAAAAAACACGGCAGGACGTTCATCACAGTGCGGCATCATACAGTTCTGATAGCGTCCTTGGGCACAATAGGGACAACGTATATCTGGGTGATAGGGATGTGAAAAATGAGGAAATGTTGGACACCCTTCAGGACAGACGGCGGCAGTCGCAATAGATTGATAATGGCTATGGCATAGATGATGCATTCCACAGCCAAGGCGCACCGCGTCTCTGTCCCGACAGGCGTCACACGAGAGTCGGTCAATAATCCAGAAAAAAGTATGATTCGACAACGCTCGCAAAAATTCATTCACGTCGAAAATGACCTGAATCATCGTCCCACCATCCCACAGTTCCCACTGGGCAGCTGCACGAATGAGTGCCATATAATGCCCGGGTCTATGTAAAGTACAGGCAAAAATATGAGGATGGTTATTGAGGTCATCGCCTGGCGTCGCATGATGCATAAGAAGGTGGCGACCGTGAAACGCTGACTGTAAGACATTTACAGTAAAGCCTCCTGAGGTAGTATAGTTACTACCTTCTGCAGGTGTATATATATTGTCACACGATATCAGAGCGTCTAAGCGAAAAAACCAAAAAAACAAAAAAATCTTAAATTCGTTTTTAATCTTCTTCCTTACAAACTCCCCCTGTTCAGAACCTCTTGCGTACAAGGCCGCCCACGTGGATGTAGGTTGAGCGGCGGCTGCCCCCACCCCCGTGTGTCATATCGACCCACTTGCACACAGCCAAAAGGCAAAGAGGCAAAGAAGAGAGGAAGGGAACAGCCAAATGAAACAAATAGAACAGAGGGAAACAAGACAGATCCCAGATGACAAGTCCCACATGCAAGCACCGCCCGCTCCGTCAAAGGCCAAACAACGGGACAAGACCACCCAGGACAAGTCATAAAAAAGCGACGATCCACAGTGTGACAACCAAGAAAAAAAGAGAAGACAATCCCGGATGACGATTCCCACATGCAGGCACCGCCCCGCCTCTCAAAGGGCCGAACAACGGGAAACAACCAACCAGAATGCCAAAAACCCGAATGGCTGGTCCCACATGAAAGCACAGCCACGCCCATAAGATAGCCCGAACAACGGGACCAAACCAACCGAGGTACAGACAAAATCAGCAAAACAAAAAAAGGCTCCAATCCACAATGTGACAACCAAAAAGAAGGAGAAGACAATCCCGGATGGCGATTCCCACAGACAGCACCGCCCCGCGCTCAAAGGGCCAAACAACGGGAAACAACCAAGCCAACCAGGATGTCAAAACACTTGCCTGCAAAACGATAACCCGATAACCAATCCCACATGAAGCACCGCCATCCCTCCTCCCTAAGATAGRCCAAATAAGGGGACAGAATCAACCGGAATCGAAGCAGACAAGATCCTCATTCAAAAGAAACATTCTACCATAACCATAGTTAAAAAAACGGAACCATACAGTAGGTCCGCAAAACAAAATACCACTAAACAAAGGGGGAAAGACAATTGGAAAAGAGATGGGACAATGGCAGTACATATTGTCACATGATATCAGAGCGCCTAAGCGAAAAAACCAAAAAAACAAAAAAATCTTAAATTCGTTTTTAATCTTCTTCCTTACAACTCCCCCTGTTCAGAACCTCTTGCGTACAAGGCCGCCCACGTGGATGCAGGTTGAGCGGCGGCTATTGTCACAAGAATATCAGAGCGCAAATGCGAAAAATTGAAAAAAGGAGAAAAGAAAACCAGGAAAAATTGAATTCAATTTTTTATCTTCTTCCTTATAACTCCCCCTGTTCAGAACCTCTTGCGTACAAGGCCGCCCACGTGGATGTAGGTTGAGCGGCGGCTGCCCCAACCCCCGTGTTTCATATCAACCCACTTGCACACAGCCAGAAGGCAAAGAGGCAAAGAAAAGAGGAAGGGAACAACCCAAACAAAACAGAACGGGGGGCTGCTAAGCAAATCCTAAACGACAATCCTAGATGACAGGTCCCACATGCAAACACCGCCCCCGACAAATACAGGCCAAACGACGGGACAAGACCAGCCAGGATGTCATAAGACAAAGCATAAAAAAGCTCCGATCCACAGTGTGACAACCAAAAAAAGAAGAGAAGACAATCCCGGATGACGATTCCCACATACAAGCACCGCCCCGCTTCTCAAAAGGCCGAACAACGGGAAACAACCAACCAGGATGCCAAAAACCCGAATGACTGGTCCCACGTGAAAGCACCGCCACGCCCATAAAATAGCCCGAACAACGGGACCAAACCAACCGGGATACAGACAAGATCAGCAAAACAAATTCTACAGTGGCAAAGAAAAAGAGGAAGGGAACAGCCGAATATAAAAGAACAGGGGGCAACAAAACAGATCCCAGATGACAAGTCCCACATACAAAGCACCGCCCCCGGCAACTACAGCCCAATCCTAAGAATTACTCGCATTCAAACGACCGACGACACACACACACACACATACACACACACACACACACACACACACACACACA